GCCTGCGCGTGCCACACAATCCGTGCCACTTCGTACATTCCCGAAACCAACCCGTACCACTTTTCTTATAGGGATGTATTATATCGTTGATTCTCACTTCCCAAGGCATATTTCTTACAGTATATTTTACCGATAGAAATTTTTACCGAATTTTTTTTTCATGACACAACCAATTCCCTGACAACAAGAATTTTAGAAAAATTTTATTCTACAGACTTTTTCACCGACAAAACCCTTTCTCCAAACTCCTGTCCCCTAAACAAAAATTTTTTCTGAAGACTTTTCGCCGACAAATATTTTGATATGCTTTCCCGAAAGGATGTTTCTCCATAAAGATGTTTTTCCGAAAAAGATTAAATTTACCAATTAAATGATATTTCGGTAAAATGAGACTTTCGGAATTGTCTTGTTGGTAATATGAGATGTCAGTATTATGGCTTCGATGAAATGGTATTTAAGAAAATTGATTTTCAGGAAGTTAACCCGTAACCGTACCGTATTATATAGCAAAAACAGCTAATATTACATTCGAATTTCGTATGGAAAGATAAAAAAATTAATCAAAAAATTAATTAATAATTAATGATGCATATATATTGAAACAATATTGGATTTGATGTGCTCAAAAGAATTGAACCAATTGTTACTTTAATAACACGAACTTTGATAATAGTGGTTTGAAAATGAGACATATAAATTAATTCGCCTGTAATTTTCTATAAATAAAACGCCTGTTCAGCAAGGTTGATATATTATCATCTAAATAACTCCCCACTCAAGGCCAATATCACGCTCTTTTACTGTATGTTGATTTTCTTCTGTTCTGGTTAACAGAAACTTTGGATGACATTGATTTTTAACGCATATATCCTACCATATCCTACCATCCTACCTTACAAAAGCGATAAAGTTTTTTCTTTTGCTTCTCATTATCTGTTGCATCAACTGTAGCATGCTGATTCATGCATTACCTGCTCATGAAGGTTAAAATCAATTCTTTTTATACAGTAAAATCTCTATAAGCGCACGCTCTAGGGACCAAATTTTAACAACGTGCACTTAAGGTATTATAAGAAAAGGTGCATTTATAGAAGTTTAATATATATTTGGGTCAGAATTTGAGTGTGGATTTAGAGGGTATGCACTTATGGAGGGTGCACTTATGGAGGTTTTACTGTATTAAAATTTTCTCGTAAATATTCCAATTTCTCACCATATATTTAAATGCTTGACTGATATTTCATTGATAGATCAATCTTTCCGCCTCATGAAGCGTTGTGGTTTTTTCTCTAAGATTATTGGTGATTGTGATGAAGGGAAAGACTTGGGTGAAAATTGTGCGGTTCTACCTTGTAAAAAAAATCTGTCATGTAAAGTAGATCAGACTGGAACTCCTACTTGTACATTCCCCTCATAAAAAAAATCGAAAAAGTCCTTCATATGAAAACTTTTTATTAATAAACAAAAATATTATATATTCGTAGCTTGAATTTTGGGGTTTAATTTTACGCAAAATATCGCAAAAATTAAAATAAAGTTTTCCCTTATGCGTAATGTTCAAATTTTACTTAATAAAAATAATCAGAATACTTTAAATATATAAATATGTTCTTTGTCATTTTCAATTTATGTTGATTAGTAATTGACGCACATCATTCATAAATTTAAAATAATCTGTTATTTTACAGTCAATATAATGTTGTAAAATATAAAAATTTCTGTAATTTTATGCATAAATGCTGCTTTGATTACATAATTTCAAGCAAAGAAAAAATAACTAAATAGAAAATAAAATAAACAATTTTGACATTGATTTTATAATACACATTCATATTTCTTGTGCTTAGTAAATTATTTTTTTAATAACTACAGGTTTTAGTATTGTAATTAGTTTTTTGACAATGGTCGCAGTTTTTTATTGTTCTACTTAAACTAGCTACTTCTTGATAAAGAAGAGGATTTATTTTATCATTAGTTCTTTGAATATATTGTAATTTTTTTTTTAAAAAAATTAATTTTATAGCAAATAAAATTTATTTAATTTTAATAATTTACTTACTTATTTATATTAGAGTTTTTGTTATTAATTTGATTTGAAGATTGTAACAAAGTGTTTTGTTTTAAATTTAGCTAGCTATGATAAAATTGTGTTTAAAAAATTTATATCAAGATCAAGAAAATCAGAAGTTTATAATAGCTCAAGCTCATTTGCTGAGTACAGTAATCAAGGATTTTAAGCTTGTATACAACCTTATAATAATTATAATTAGGCTTTTTTAAAAAATTTTGAAGATAATAATTTTTGCTACATTTTAGCTTGTTTAAAATATATAATAAATATTTTATACTATTCCCAGATTTGAATAGACATAGTGTAATTAAAAAAATTATTGTCTAATTATATTAAATTTTATTGGTCTAATAAACCTAATATTTCACTATCTCTGACCCTGACTTAGGCCAATCAGATAATATATATTTTATGAACTTAAATAACATATTTTTATAAAAAATGTTTTTATACTTATGAGCTAATTGACTTAAATATATTAATATGAAATTAAATAGTAAATGTTTATGTATTTTACTTATTTCAATCAATAAATATTCTTATAATTCACATATATAAATATTAATGAACTTGAATAGCTTATTCCAAATACTTAGATTAATAAAGGTTCTTTATGCACATGTTTTAAATTATTAAAAATTGTCGTAAATATTCATTATTTGAATATCTTATTTAAAATACATATACTAATAAAATAATCTTTATGAATAAAATGAAAATAGTATTGATAAGCCCAAACTAATAATTGTAATTAACACTTTATAAACTAAAAATTATTATAACTCAAGCACAATACAAGAACTAATACTTATATTTCTCCACTTGCTACTACCTCGAATAAAGCTACTAAGGATGTATTAGGCAATACCTCAACTCCTATTAGAATACAAGCAAGTACGAAGACATCTACTACAAGATTGACATACAGCCAAGCTGCTCAAACAGATTTAAAGCTACTCAAGACTGATGCCCCTGAAGATGAAATGGAGTAGGCTTCAGAAGTATACCTCAAAACTACTAAACCTATTGATACACCCTTTGATACAAGTACCTGGTATTTTGACAAATTGCAAAAGCTCTCGAGACTCCTGAAGGCATCTATAACTTTACTAGCCATAAGCTTATTACTACTCCAACTAACTACAAGCTATCTGAAGCAATCGCCCTTAAATTTGCTCACCAGGATACTAGGTTTTTCACAACATTCACACACAACCCAAAAACTACTTCGGCTCACCAGAAAGAATATAATGAGCTTTTCAACAATGCACTTGCAGCCTGCAAACAAAATAATGAGATTACACTTACCAATATTACTACTCGTAATACTATTCATACAATACTAAGAACATGGCTTATTGCCCAACACCTCAAACCTTAACTTTTCTAGGACTACATACAGAGGAATATGCAGTATTATCCTGTATGCCAGAGGCTTCCTAAAGATCAAGAATACTAGTGAGAAAACTCCTAAAGAAATCAGAGCACAGATAAACAAAGCACTAGAGAACAAGCTTATCCTATTACTTGATACACCAGAAAAGATATCCAAAGAGGTACAAGAGATTTTGCCCTTTGAACTTCCTATCAAAGTACGATCACACACTAGAGCTGTAGTTAATGCCCTAAGAAGAATCTACAAATTTTCTGGCATACTTTGTCAAACAGCCCCTATTACCCTCTTATTACAGTGAACTTCCACCTAGCCTGTACTAACTATTTCCTATATCTCATAGATCTTCACTCTAATATCTTACTTTATACAAAAGAAAATTAGCAGATTCATATACCGTTACTCAAATTCTGGACTCATACTTTGACCTGCCACCTCCCAAAAAACCCTTACCTACAACATACCAAGAGCTTAATCCAAAAGTTCGAAAATTCTTCCCTTTTAACCAAGCAACTTCTCTTATACCTTTAGCAGAAGTTATTTCTCAACTTAGAGAATATTATATATTTAAACTTCTACCAAATGACTTCTTTACTGTCAAACCTCCTCTTCCTACAGAAATCAGCAAAATCAAAACTACTACGGCTTTCAAGTTTCCTATCACAGATGATACAGTGGCTAGAGAATTCATGAAAAAATTTCTTCTCATTATAGAGTCCAACTTCCACTTCCTACAGAAATTATACAAGCCAATCCTACTAACAAACCTACTTTGCCATCTGCCAAAGAAATTACAAAACTATACAATATCTCCTTCCCAGTTACAACTAAACACCAACTTACATTTACGGTGAGACTACTTCGCAAGTATTACTACTTCAACCAGCTTCTCTCAGACTGGATACAAATTAATGACAGCCCTTCAGCTGATACTGACACTGACCCAACCAGCAAGCAAGCTCTTCCCAATATTCCAGAAGATATAGAGGAAATTATCCAAACATTATCAAAACAAGAAATTATTGTCTTACTTCCAATCCAAAATCAACCAGATATTACCCCAACTATGAAAATCCTTAGACAGTTCTATACAGTTAAAAAAATCTCTGATAATTTGCTTAATCTTCCTCCTCTTCCTACCCCAGCCTAGAGCATTTTCAGCTACACACCTACACCACCTAGCCCAACTACTCCAAGTATAATACAATCTTTCACAGAGGCCAAAACATATATCATACATATAGAGGATACTAAAACCAATGCAAGCAACACTTCTCTACCTACCAATACTCCATCACTACCTTTAATCTTGGCAGAACAAAACACACTCAACAATACTCAAAACATCACATTATCAGACAATTCAGATATTTCACTTCCAGTAGGCAACCTCGTGCCAATGGATACAAATGAGCACTTAAATGAGTAACTCCTACACTCGAACGAATAACCTCTCATACCCACCTACAAGCAATATACAAAATTCTAACACTAATATACTTCGCCCTCTTATACTTTCAATTTGTACACATAATGTACAAGGTCTTAACACAGATGCTAAAAAAGAAACATGGGAGCACTACTGTATACAGCATAACCTTGATATTGCTAGCTTAACAGAGACCAAACTCTCTAATGAAACAGTTCGCTACAAGCAATGCAAAACTCAACATTACACCTACTTATGGTTATACACCAACAGCTCTCGAGCTGGAACTGCTATTATGATCTGCAACTATCTAGCTCCTCATATTCATAAAATTACTATGGTCCTTAGCTATGCTATAGCAATAGACCTCTTTTTCAAGAATGACTTCAAGTTTCACATTATATCTCTTTACCTACCTAGCAATGATGCACAGCTTAGACTCCAAACACAAAATACTATTATCCAATGGCTACAGCAAGCAAGAGCACAAAATATCCTCCCTATCACTCTAGAAGCTTTAATGCATCCACAAATGATATACACTCACAATCAATTAAATATAAACTCCTTCAATATTTAGTATACAATAACATGTACAACTTAACCTCACACACTCACAAATCAGCCCCTACTTGGCACAAAGCTAACCATAGCAGTGAAATTGACTATATTTGGGTCTATCAACCAATTTTCCAATATCTCACAGACTATGATACTGATAACTCGGATACTAGTACATTAAGTGACCACAAGATTCTGATCTCCCGTTGGCTTTTTCCCTTTGCAACAACAGGACAATCCAGGCACAAAACTCGGACCAAGAGAAAAGTCTTCGACTACAAAGCTATGAACCAATAAAAATGGGAAGACTTTACCAACCAGGTCGATACTAACCTACGCAAACATCACACACCATCTACAATACTGATCTCGGAAACCCTAGAGACTACCTGGCACACCCTATAAGAAAAGTGGTTCGGGATGTGGCACGTGAAATTAGTGTAAATGCATGGGATGGTACATTTCGTGTAGTACGTACATGCACATTTCACAGGATAGCGCAATTAAAAATGACACGGAAATTATGGCAAGGAAGTGGTTTGTTATGGCACGTTATACGGAATGGCACGGGCAGTGTGGCACGCACTGACATGTTTCACGGGATGGACCGGTTAAAAATGATACAGATATTACAGCAAGTGCGGTTCATTATGTTGTATCTTACGGAATGGCACTAGCAGTGTGGCACGCACTGACACATTTTACAGGATGGACCGATTAAAAATGACACAGATATTACGGCAAGTGTGGTTCATTATGTTGTATCTTACGGAATGGCACAGGCAGTGTGGCACACACTGACACGTTTCACAGGATGGACTGATTAAAAATGACACAGATATTACGGCAAGTGTGGTTCATTATCAGGCGAAGTGGCACGTACATGTGCATTTCACGGAATGGCACAGTCAAAATGACGCAGACATTACAGTAAGGGTGGCCCGGTGTATCACATCATATAAA